CGTCCTTTTAAATAACTTGTCACCAACAATTTTTCTTTTTTCCTCTTTTGTAATTGCATCATGTGCTAAGGCCGAAGGAAAATGAAAAGTTGCTATATTTTTGTTTGATATAGATAGGAACGATTATATGGTGTCATGATTAAGGAGCTTAAATAGTTCCCATCACCAATCCCTACATTTGCACCACCAGTTAGAATCTATGTAATATCATTACGCCTACTGTTGCCATAGCCACCTCAAAGTGTGTCTGCAGTTAACAAAATGCTAATGGTCTAATCCGATTCAATGATCTATGCTAAGCTAAGCTAAAAGAGCTCTCGTTAGACCCGGAAATTGGCCGAATGGATTTAAAAATGGTAAATCTCACCCTTCAACTCTTGTCTTGTCGCCTATCCAAGTTTTAGTAACAAAAAATAATACCTTGACTTCTAGTTGATCATTTGGTATCAGACGTGAGGTATATGAAAGGCAAAGGCCTCTAGATTACGCTTATTTTACCAAAATAAAATGTGATCAAGCCTTGATTTTTAATGATTAAATTGGGACAATAAGGTCTGACTTTGCTTAGACAAAAGTCTCGCCACTTAACAGAAATAATGTAAGGTATAGAATATAAAGTCATGCTGCAGTGGAAAAATAATTAATGTTATGTACAACTCCCATGAGCTTGGAGGACTGCATGCATTCATCTCTGCAATGACTCAAATAACATTACTAAAGTCATCTGGAATGGCAAAGAAAGCGTTCTTGCAGGACTCCCAGAGTTCATCAAAGTTCTTTAGATTCATCTTCAATGCCTCCTCCTTCATCTTACCCCAGACATGCTCAATAATGTTTATCTCTGGTGATTGGTCTGGCCAATCCTAGAGCACCTGGAGATTCTTTGACCTTTTTGACCTTCTCTCCTGTGGTTTGTAATGTAATGGGCAGCACAAATGTCTTGATACCTCAGGCTGTTGATGTTGCCATCCACTCTGCACATCTCTCGCATGGCCCCATACTGAATGTAACCCCAAACCATGATTTTTCCTTTAACAAACTTGACTAATTGACTAAGAGAATCTTGGGCGGGTTCCAATAGGTCTTGTGCAGTATTTGTGATGATCGGGATGCAGTTCAACAGATGATTTATCAGAAAAATCTACCTTCTTTCACTTTTTCCAAATGATCAACTAGAAGTCAAGTTATTATTTGTTACTCTTACAACTGGGATCGACAACAAGACTTTTGTCAGTTAGTGTATTGCCCAAAACAAGTGGAATGTTCCTTTAAGCTGAGGTCTTTGGGTAAATTTTTGGTCTTTCAGCAATCATCGCCTTCAGCAAGGACAAGCGGCTGAACTGGCTGTGTTTACAATGACACAGCTCACTGAAGCCAAAAACAACCCGCTTTAATGGCTTTTCAGTGAATTCAGTGAGTATTTCTGTGCTCGGGCTGCTTTCCCTTCGCTCCATGTTTGGTAAATTCCCCTCAGATGAATGTGTGTGTTGGCTGAATGTGATCTGAATGCCGGTGGCGGTATGAATCTACAGTTTTGGATGAAAGAAGTTCACTGTAGGTGTTCGCGTCATATGATCCTAATATTCCTGTCTTGTTATTCAATCAACGAGGTAATTTCACTCATTTCAGGTTGATGATTCAAGTAATGTGTCAGATCATGTATCTGGGTCACATTTTTCCATTAAGGTTGTTGTTGTTTTATATAATTTTATACATATTGAGTAGGGGTGTCACGATTTCGATTTTAAATCGAAATCGATTGAAATTTATGCTCAATTTCAATTATCGAATCAAAAAATAGAATCGTCGATGCATGTCACGTCAGCTTGGCTTGCCAAGCGGGAAAAAAAAAGGCTTGTTGAAGTGCTTGTTAAACTGCAGACGCAGGAGACCCGTCAACAGAACTTAAACTCTCTCCTCTTTCAATGAAGTCGCTGGTGTGTAAGCATTATGGATTTCCAGTGAGTTATGTTGACAACGTTCGTGTTGTCGACAAAAAAAAAAGCACAGTTTTGTAAGCTCTGCTATGTACGTATTACGTACGGTTCGTCCGATAGACAACACCAGCATCGCGATCCTCCGCCCGCCCCCGTTGCAAATCCGCTCACGAAAAGTACACACTCAGGCCCTGTTTACACTGTCTTTTTTTTTTTAAATGGCATTTTAGAACGACAACGATTTGACATCCTCAGTGGCGTGTAGCATTTCTGAGCAGCCCTCCTTCCTCACTACCTCTGAAAATGCACATCACGTGACCACACAGACACAGACACACTCACAGCCATGCGCTCGAGACAGCAGGTCCAGGCAATCAGAGGACTGCTTCAATCTTTCACTCACTTGTACTTAGTAATTTTAGCGCACACCTCAGATACTGTTGGCTGGTTCCTGTTGGTTGTGCGTCTTTTTTACCGATTCCATTATAACGACACAGATCACTGCCTATTCACGAGTCCCGCAGAAAAAGTGATTGACAGGTGGTAATTATGTGTGTATCTTG